TTTACTTTTGAAAGCGAAAACAGCAACTCATGTTACTGTTAGCAACTCACGTTGTTGAACATAACATTTTGAAATAGGTTCATCTTGAATCAGTTTCATAGCGGAGAAGTAGTTAAAGAGCAGAAGCTTCGTATACATAGACAAAACCCTACACACTTCCTGACTGTTCCTAGCTAGGATCCTATAGAATCCTAAGATTTAGGATCTACCTAAGAACTTCCTAACAGGATCCTAAAATGTCAGGTTCCTATTCAAATTTCGCATAAGTTGTCTTAGATGCTAAGAAAATGCTAGCAATTTCTTGAACTTTCCGGTCTTTAGAATTCTAGCTTTTCAGATGCGCAGAAATAATAGACGAGGAAGCAGAATATGTTAAATGACGACAATGACCTCATCCACATTCAAGCCAATTATGCAGTACATTGTTATATTATTGCTTGGAGTATTGATAGGCATATGTGGAGTCATTAAATTCCATTCAACATTAGATACTTCGGATATATATAGTCATAATGATATTGCGTCGTCTGATAATACGTCCTTCGCAGATAAGCAGCACTTGTTGACGTCGGGAACAGATCTATACCAAAAGTATACACCAATACCAGTGTATACTTTTCAACGTAATGTGATAACAGGTGCAGGTTTCCATATGGATCTGCCACCTCTATACCGTCTGGCTTGTTCAGCGTGAGCTAGTTGCTTTTACTGCACCTTGTTGTTAATCGTGAGTAATAGATCGATCTGCAATGCTGATTTTCAACAGTCAGCCGCAGTATACTCGATTGGATTCATTTCATATGAAAAGTATTTACCGGCTAATGTTAATTCGAAACAACCCGGTATGCATATTCATTCCGCACGTTGAATAGTGATCAATCGTTACTTGTTGGCTTTGGAAGCCAGCGGTCACATGTATGACAATGTGTTTTTATGAGATACAGAAGACATTATCTTTCAAACAAATGTATTCACTCATATGAAGACATCTGGTTCAGCGCTGTACGCTTTTCTAGAGGATGTCAAAATGACAATAGGTAAATGCGATGTAAATACGAGATGGATGAGAGCCTGTTATAGCGAGCAGATGTTGCAATCGCTATCAAACCGCTCGATCTCATGCTCCGGTACAGTTCTAGAGACCTGGTCTGCAATCACTGCTTACTTATCAACAATGGAGCTAGAGATCATGACGAGATCAAAAGAATGTACTGCTAATGTTGGCAGTGATCAAGGTGTTCATAATTTTATTATTCATAATAATCGGGTGCCAAATACCGTCGTTTATCAAATTTCGTATGAAAATGGTTTTGTTCAACACAATTTAATTTCTTCAACTTGATTACCCATCATGGATGAAGAGAAGCAAGTTTGATTTGGTATTGAATGCCAACATGAGTATTTATTCAGTGATTCATCAATGGAATCGAAGCATGCAGATGATCGACCAGTTTGGCAGAGAATATCCAATATTACCCGACGCTGTTCTAAATAAGAAAAATTGAATTGCTCTAAGGAGTAACACAATATCATATTGTCCATTATGAGACTGTTATTACACTGCTGTGGACAGGAAAAGATTCAGTTTTAGGTACAAAGTTAAATGAGTAATTTCTTTTAGGGATCAGGGCTTTTTTTATACCAACTTGTGCTAACCTCCAACATTTTTGGCTGTATAGACTGTATAGTAGAGAACACTTGATTACAACATCTGTGGGAAAAAACCCAGAATAGCATTCGATAGAAAAGAAGAAAATAATAGAGTTGTTGTACACACAATGATAAACTGAGAATGATGACACGACACTCTGAGATAGAAAGGAAAATGACCATTGACAGAGAGTGACGATAGATGTTACTCTCTGACACCGGTTTTTTCTTACTTCTTCTAGAACATGATCTTCGGTTTCTAAATGTAAATTTAATTTCTTACCAAATGCAATGCTTGTATATTTGAATCGATCATAAAGAGCAGTTTGATTTGTTCCCATATATTGCGATAAATGACTACAAAACTTCATACTACTATCTTGAATACCAATCATATAAATTGACCAGGCACTCATTAAGCAATTCCCTTTTCCTGAAAAAACGAAAAACTTTGATTAATTTACATGAAGTATAGTCTTTCACATTTTGAATATCTGTAACTTACCAGTTGTACGTAGAGAATACAATGGCTTTACTTTATCACACCAATTAATCACCTTCGCTGCTTCCAAACTTTTTTGTTCTTCAAGCAAACTCTTTCCAGTACTTTTCATAATATTATCATGTGTATTCAACGTTGTTGTATATTTAGCAGACGTTAACGGTTCCAAATTTAAGGATACAAATGTTTCTAAATTTTTAACGATTCCATCATTACGAAACAAATCCTCATACTCGGCGAACGTGTACAAAGCCAAATCTTGATACATTTTAAACGACAAACTTGAACTTTATCAAAAAACAATATCTGAAAGATGTAACCAGTTGACAAGAACTCAGACAGGTTATCTTGGGAACCATGTCAGAGACATGAAAATAATGTGATTCTATAGATTTCGCTCAGCTCTATCCAAATATGCATTCAAGTCGATGCACGCTTTAATAATTGCAAAGATAATTTGCTTTGACAATAAAAGTGACCTCCCATAATTTGTTGGAAAAATAAAAGTGGTCTTAGGGACCATGTCACAGATATGAAAATAATGTGATTCTGCAGATCTCGACGAGCTCTATCCAAATATGCATTCCAATCGGTGCACGCTTTAATGATTCCTAAGATAATTTGTTTTGAAAATAAGAGTGGTCTTAGGGACCATGTCACATATGAAAATAATGTGATTCTATAGGTCTCGACGAGCTCTATCCAAATATGCATTCAAATTGATGCACGCTTCGATGATTGCTAGGTGAATTTGTTTTGTAACTAAAGATTCTACCCACTACGATTGAGTTACCTTGCTTGGTAAATATGATGATAGATATGGAGGAACAAGTCCCTTAATTTTTTTATATAATAAAATTAATTTATGTTGCAGAAAAAGTTTATCGAATGGTAACCAACCTAAACAATGTAAAGTTTTTTCTTTAGCTGACAACCGCAGGGCTCCACTTACATCTAACGCAGCCTGATATTGTAAGCTGTACAGCTCATTTAAAAGACTTTCATATGTAGAGGTGTAGATACAATCAGCATAACTAATTGTCTGAAGTAATCCTAAATCTGTTTCAGAACGATTGTAGATAGTTTGAATTTGAAGAACTTCAATAAGTTAATTATTTTGTAACACTTACGAGGGAACATATTTAAGTGCACCCCCCCCCCTGAGAAAGGGTTTTAAACCATTCTATCCTGTAGGGACCTTGATGTGTATCATTAATATCAATGTCTTAGCTGCTTTCGTTTAAGTTTGAAAAAAATAGAAAATCAAACTTTTTCATTTTTCATATACTATAGATATGACTCATATATCATTCTTCGTTTTTATAAAATTTGTAACAATGATGAATTTTTTCGTAAAATACTGTAAAGAATGAACAAGATGTAATATAGAACATGTACTTTTCTGTCATAATTAAAAAATGTAATCCATTTTGTACCCTTGTGACTGTTCGTCTGATTGATAACGTGTTCTTTCGAACAACAATCTGATACTGATCAAACTCGTATGGTTATGTACATTCTTTTCGTTCTGATTTCTTTCTATATGATCATGGTATTTTATCTCGTATTCTCCAGTAAATTCTTTTCTGTATAACATATTCCAGTAAATTCTTTCTCTTTCTAAGCTCTAGTACATACTTATATATATCTGTCGTTTTAAAACAATTAAACAGTATATTTTACATACGTGAGAAAGCAATACGTCTCTTTCACCAGAAACTAGCAAGTCATCGACTACTTCACAACATTGTAGAACATCAAACAGAGTAACCATGTTCAACGTAGCTAATGTAGTGCGATTGTTTAAGGAATAAAAGCGAATGTTGCATTATTTTACAGATCCCGATGGCTTCTATAAGAGATATAAAAAAGTTTGAAATATGACCTATCGTTCAAATACCACAACGTTTGTTTACACGGCTGATAACGTGATGACATTTTTAACTGTTTTCTGTCATCGCGTTACGTGATTTTTATTTAATTAATACAGATGAAATGAACTAGTTTTGATCCTACAGAGCAAACATTTTTCTACAGTCTGATATAATTGTTGAATTTTCGCTTGCTCGTCTTCACTCTGTTAAACACGCTTTTCAGATAGCTTCAAAACTGATCTTCATATCACCGATAAAAAAAAATTAGAGTTTGTTTAGAGTTAAAGGAGGGTGCTTTTTCGTATCCAGCACACTTGATAACCTGGAAAATTCTATGATTCTATGATTGATACTACATAATTTGAGAATCTCATGAGAAGTCAGAGTACCAAATGGAAATCCAGATACTTCAAAGTGCTGAGATAATGCTCGAGGAATAATAAGTTTTTGAGCTCTAAAACCCATTTCTTGATTCACAACATGGATCAAAAATGGTTTCACTCGATAGAGAATGTAATTCTGCTACTACCACATAATTTGAGAGTCTCATGACAAGTCAGAGTACTACGCGGTATTGTGACTTGTCATGAGACTCTCAAATTATGGGTGAGTCGATGTGGACGGTGTAAGTTATCTGCATATTGAAAGGACACATGAAAGTACAACTGTTAGACACATTTGATATCAATGCATCTCGAACCCGAGTATAACAACGATAGTGGAAAAATCTCCTTTAATCTAGAGTCGATCAAAGTTTTATCATCCAAAGATTCTCCTCTAGATGTAACAGTCCCAGGTTTTCTAAACGGTCGAAGACAATATGAAAGGAGAGTAAAATTAACTGATCACTTAACAGTGATAACATTGAATTGGACAAGTATTTTCTACAGTCTGATATAATTGTTGAATTTTCGCTTGCTCGTGTTCACTCTGTTAAACATGCTTTTCAGATAGCTCCAAAAGTGATGTTCATATCACCGATAAAAAAAAATTAAAGTTTGTTTAGAGTTAAAGGAGGTTGCTTTTTCGTAACCAGCAGACTTGATAACCTGGAAAGTTTTCTACTTTTAGCGAAGGGTGCCGCCAAAAACTTAAGAAAAATTTTCAAGCAAATTGAAGCAGAAAAATCAAACACTTCAATTTTCTGAGGTAAAATTATACAATTTTAAGAATTTCCTTAACTTTTTGGCGGTACCCCTCGCTAAGAATAGAAAATTTTCCAGGTTATCAGTTGTGCTGAATACGAAAAAGCAGTTTTCTTTAACTCTAAATGAACTTTAATTTTTTGTCGGTGATATGTTGAGCTACTTGTGCAACAGTTGTATTTTCCATAATGAATCAACTCCCAGAGCCGAGACACTTCTTATTTTAAAGAGAGATGTTTAATCAATTTAATTATCTATTTGGAATCTTAGATTAGTTTGTAGTTTTATTGCAAGAATAGTTTGAAAAAGGGCAAAAAAAGGGTACCGTTAGCCGGACAAGCCGAATGGCATCGTTCGTTCGGGTGTCATTGATGTTTCTTCTAAAGGACAGAATAATTTGGGTAAAATCTCTGAAATAACACATAAGTAATTGTGATAGTGAAGTTCATATTTTAGTGGTTTCTTTAGCGGGCTATTACGTAGAACACTTAAAAATAATAAAACGATGGTTTTCCGATAAATAAAAACGAATCGATGTCTAAATGTAATAATAGAAGATAAGATTATTGCTCGAGAATTGATAAAGTATATTAAAATCTATTAATTTAGAAATATTAAAATTAATAGCAAATTTCTTTGGAAACAAAAATTGTGTTGTATCATTTTCCAAAAATCATTTTAAAATTAAATTATTTTTAAGAGTTAATTCTTTTCTGTCGTATTCGATATGATAGGATGTTGTATTGAAATTTGTTTAAAGGGCTTGTACAAGCTTGACGCTGTGACATTTTTGACACAGTAATTTGAGCTTTCCTCAATAAGTGTATAAGCTAGAACCGTCGTTCTTGCGCCGTTCGACGTAGCTCACCATACTCTACTTTTGGTATAAAAATGAAGGTATGTGGTTAAGTTCTCAAACTTTTAGAAGCGTTTTTCGGCGCGTGACACTGTGACAAAAAAAGGCCCTAAATTCGAAGTGCTTCTCGTTAAAAGCTAATTTGCTGTGAATTTAGAAGAGCTAATAAAAAGCGTCTCGAGCAAAGTTTGTAGAGGAGTAAACGAGCTACTGATTGTTAAAAATGAATCTTTCCAAAGAGCTTTCCATCCCTCAATAATTGCGTTCTATCGTCGTGACGGTGTGGCACTCGTTTTTCCCAACAAAGTTTGGAGGACTAAACATTGCTCAAAGGGTTTCATTTGCACATCAGACTTAGCTTTAGACATCTAATATAGACTAAGGTGAAAATAAAGCTGAAAAAATGTTTTCACTTTCTTAGAATTGTGTGAAAATCTTAAA